AGGTCTGTACTGTCTTTGCAGATGGTCAAGGTCCCCTGCACCACGGTGTCTGCAGCACATGGCTCAGCAGCCTGAAGCCCCAAGACCCAGTGCCCTGCTTTGTGCGAAGGTAAGCCCTTCTCTGCTCTCTCCATTGTGGAGCCACTGGCCCAGGGGCATTCTGGGTCAAAAGGGAGGGATCTGAGGACTGGATGCCACTCTGGACCTCTTGGCCCATGAAGAAGGCGCTGGGCTCACACTGGGCCTCTCCATCTTACTGCCTGCTATGGAGCATGGCCCAATCTCTAGCGGGGACAGAGATGCCAGTTGTGGGGGGGGGCCCAGAGAACAATGACGCTCAGCCCTTTCTCAAAAGGCCCCCAGGGTGAGGTGATGGTGTGCCTGGACAGGGGAATGACGCAGCCTGCTGGGCTTGGGAAATCTAATTTAAGCTCTTTGTCCCCACTGCTGAACACCGCCACCCCCCCCGCCTCCCGCCCCCCGCCACCAACTACAGCCCCAGCTCCCCAGCCCCTGTCCTGGATGTGCATTGGGCCAGTGTGTCTGAGGACTAGGGCCTCTCTCCTTCTGTCCCCTTCAGTGCCAGTGGCTTCCGGCTCCCTGAGAACCCCTCCCATCCTTGCATCCTCGTCGGGCCTGGCACGGGCATTGCCCCCTTCCGCAGTTTCTGGCTGCAGCGGCTCCATGATGCCGAGAACAGAGGTACAGCTGGAGGGCTCCTGGGGGTTGGGGAGGGGGCATCTGTTGACCAGCACCAGCCTGGGAGCAGGACTGGAGCTATGGGGGAGTTGTGCCACCGACCCACAAAAGTCTCCTGACCCCTCTCCCAAGTTTGCCTCAGCCTGTGTGGACAAGTGATCTGAACGCCCTGGGCCTCGGTTTCCTCATCTGTGAAGCGGGGACAATACAAGATCAGATGCTTGTGGGGATGAAATGAGATTTCAAGTTGGGCGCCCAGCTCCTCAGGCCTTGAGCCGGGGCCCGCCCTCTAGTGGCCACCCTGGTAACTGCATCCTGCTGGGTCTTGCAGGGCTCCAAGGTGGCCGCATTACCCTGGTGTTCGGGTGCCGCCACCCAGATGAGGACCACCTCTATCAGGAGGAGATGCTGGAGATGGCCCGGAAAGGGGTGCTGCATGAGGTGCACACGGCCTATTCTCGCCTCCCTGGCCAGCCCAAGGTAAAGGCAGCAGCTGCCCAGGCAGTGGGGGAGCCTTCAAAGCACAGACTATGGGGGGTGCCTGACTCCCCACACACCCCTCACCCCTCTGAGCCTTCATCTCCTCAGCTCTAAAAGGGAGGTTCACTCTTCCAGGAGAAGAGACAGGCCCCGAGACGTTCAGGACTGAGTCAGGGGCACATGGTGGGTTCATCCCAGTGCCCAGTCCCCTGAAGGTCCTCCTCCTGGGATACGTGACTGCGGGGGGAGAGGTGGTCCAGGCCAGCTTCACGCTGAAGCACAGCAAGGCTGGAGGGCAACTGCTGCTCCCACCATGGCCTATGGGCTCTACTGCCCTGGGGGCACTTTGTCTTGTGAGCCTGGAGAGTCGGGGCAGACTCCTGGATCAGCCCTTGTGCACTTGCCCCATCCCAGCTCCTCCCAGACCCAGTGCTCCGGCCCATTGTTGGGTCACTGGCATCTTGTGTGGAGCAAGAGCAGAGAGTCCCCGATGGACTCCTGGGCTTCTGTGCAACTGGGGAGCCCAGGGCTCCGTGCCCTGCTCTGAATGACAGTGGGGACCCCAGGGATGGTCTGTCCCGAGAGGCTCCCTTCTGTGGGGAGTGGGCACCTGGGCCTCATTGGGCAGGGGGAGTGGCTCGAGTGAGGCCTTTTTGAAGCCTGGAGAATTCTGAGTCAATCTGGGAGCCCTACTGGGCGGTCAGCTCCTTGTGGTCAATGTCCATCTCTGCAGCCACAGCCCAGGCCCGGCCAGGCAGGGTGTGAGTGCACCTCCGCATCCCAAGCCTGGTTCCCTGTGCAAGGTCCTGGCTGGGAGAGTGCTCACTCTGCTCCTGAGAGTGCAGCCCATCGTGCCCCTGCCCACCTCCCCATGGCCAGCGGGCCTGACTGCAAGCTTCACCCCCAGTGGCAGGGGCCTGGACCCACCATCTCCTCTGGTTTCAGGTCTATGTTCAAGACATCCTGCGGCAGCAACTGGCCAGTGAGGTGCTCTGTGTGCTCCATGAGGAGCAAGGCCACATCTATGTCTGTGGGGACGTGCGCATGGCCCGGGACGTGGCCCACACCCTGAAGCAGCTGGTGGCTGCCAAGTTGAGCCTGAGTGAGGAGCAGGTCGAGGACTATTTCTTCCAGCTTAAGGTATGGCACCTGGTGTGTGGGCTAGGCATGGAGGTCAAGGGCATGGGCCAGGGAGCCTGGACTCGAGAGTCAGGCTCAGAACAGTCCTGGACCCCAAAGGAATCCTACAGGTGGCTGGAGGTCGGGGCTGGCCGGACAGTGAGAGGCCTGACTGGGCATCCTGGTCTGTTACTCAGTTCAACAGAGGCAAATGCCTTGCTTTACAACGACTTCTCAGAGCCTCTAACATGCTATGTGCATTGTGACATTTCAAGATGGGAGCAAGTACACAGCATCTCCCAAATGTATTTATCTCAGAGCCACATTTCCTGGAGCCTCTGGAGGGACGAGCTCTAGGCAGGCCTTACTGTTCATCATAAGCTTGGGGAGATGCTTAGACGTCCACACCAGAGCAGGCGCCGATGGGAGGGAAAGAGTCCTGTTTAGATCCCACATGATCTAGGCTCGGCAGTGGGAAGGCAATGGCTCAGGGGTGTACGTGTGACAGGGAAGCGGGGAACCTCAGGGGCTCGTCCCAGCCTGGACCTGATGAACGAGAGGTGGCTGGAGCAGCAGAGCTGACACAATGGTCTCTGTTTCCCTGTAAAGAGCCAGAAGCGCTACCACGAAGACATCTTTGGTGCCGTAGTTCCCTACAAGCTGAGAAAGGATGGGGCCGCAGGGCAGCCCAGCCATCCCAGAGCACAATCAGCCCCCGGGAAAAGTTAAAGCTGCTGCCACAGAATTCAGTGACGGAGCCAACTCTGGATTACAGCCTGCAGAGAGGGAGGGAAATTATAACCAGCCTCACATCTCATTTCCCCATCTCTTTCCCCAAAACCCTTTACTTGACCTGCTACCAAGTAGCAGCCTGGACTGAGTGGAACCTCCTTTCTCCCTTGAGTCCACTCATCCTCGGATAGTGGAGAGTTGGGGCCTTCCTGGTCCCTTGGAGACAATCTGCAATGCCGGGCACGTCGAGCGGGTGAGGATGGAACTGGCTTCTGATTGCACGTCTTGGAGTGACCACCAGGAGGCGCTGTCGTACCACTCTGTATTAGTTGCCCCATGTACAGTTATTTATGAGTCTGTATTTAAGAAAAACAAATCCCAGTCTGCTCCTACAGGCACTTGGGTCTTCCTTGTATGACTCCTTGATGGAGATATTTATATGAAATGCATTTTGTTTTAACCACAGTGTGAGTGTGGGTGTGGTTGTTTTATAGGGAAAGCAGCCCTAAATCATGTAGGAGTGGGGACTGGTGGTGCCACAGCCTAGACAAATATCCCCCAGAACGGGACGTACCAGCTTGTGCACACTGCTTCTCTGAAGTGGCCAGCAGATTCAGGGCCAGCGCACGGAGATGTGTGCACATCTGAAAGCCTGAGACAGGTCAAGGGAGCACAGGCTTTCCTGTGGGGCCTGAGCTGACCTTCCCCAGGAGGCCTGTCCCACGGGGCTGTGGCAGGTGCCATTGCACATGATGTCAGTTCTCTAGTGAAGGCCTGGACTACACCCTGACTTAGAAAGTCACTGTACTTTGCTCTGGGGCCGCCTTTGTCATGAGAGTTTGGTCAAAAACGATTTGGCACCTGGGCGAGAAAGCAGGTGAGGTCGGGCTGCTTGTTAAGGACTCGGCAGAGAGTGAAGGACACACGTCTTCCCTGGGGAAGGCTTCTCAGGGGCTGAGCCATGATTCCTTCTCCAGTGAGAATGAGGAAGGAACTCAGCCGGGGGCTCAGTGGGGTCTGGAAAAATCTGTCCCCAGCCTGGCTTTGGCCTCCGTGTTTTTGGCTCCCTGCCCACTTCTCTCCTCCCCGCTCCTACTCAGATGGGGAGAGAGGGGCATGCCAGCCTCCAGTGTCCCAGCAGTGCATCTGGGACGTGGTCAACAATTTGGTCACCTGGCCCAGTGCCTCTCACCCTCGAACGTGCACACAAACCCCCTGGGCTCTCATTACAGTGCAGACTCTGACCCAGCAGGTCTGCCCTGGGCCCAAGCTGCTGCGTTTCTAACAAGCTCCCAGGTGCTGCTGCTGCTGCTGAGCTGAGGGCTACACTTTGAGCCCCACCCTGGTTCCCGAGGCGCTAGACTCTTGATGGAGCTGGCAGGACATGTTGGCACCATGTGGACACAGAGCCGGGTCCCCTGCACTGGCCCAGTGGCTGGCAGAACCCCACACACGGAGCCACTTTGCCCACCACACCCCAAGCACTAAGGCTGGGGGATGCACAGTGGAACCCCACAAATAGGCCTATCTTCCGATTCAGCTTCTTCTGACCCCACTGCCACCTCCTCTCGCCAGGACACAGGGTTCTGATGAGCTGGCCCTGCCATCTGGCCTCCTCGTCTTGCCTCGGCCCAGCCCTTGGCCCATCTCGGGCCTGTTTCCTGGGTTCACCTCTGTTCCCCAGCTTCCTGTGTCAGAGATTCCTGCCCAAGAGGCCTGAGCCCGGCCTGCTTTCTCCCACAACCCTGAGGGGTTTGTGGGGATCCACGGGGAGCAGGTGTGGATGTCAGAACCTCCCCCTGACCAAAATGAGCCCACACTATCTCCTCCCATTCCCATTAGCCAGGACCCCCCAATTCCAGAGACTCCAAATTGTCTTTAATAAACCACCATCAACCCATAGGTCTGCCGACAAGCCTTTTTCCTTCTTTCTTTGAAGGTCACAGGGAGGGGAGAGCCCCCTGCTGAGAAGGGTCCCATCGGTTGGTGGAAACCAGAGGGGTATCATCAGGGAACTTTCCTGGATCCGGGGAAGCGCTGGTGCAGGTGCAGGAGAGGCTGAAGCTGGGAGACAGGGAGGGGCCGAGGAGACAGCCTCCCCCGGGGAGTGAACAGGTGCTGGCCTGGGACTGACTGGAGCTGACTGGGCTGGGGATGCAGCTGAGAGGCAGATGGGGTGTGGGCCTGGGCCGGGTGCTTGGGAAGGCCGAGCACCCTCCCTTCTGCCTAGGGGACTGAACCTGGGGTGTAGCCTGTGCAGACCACCCCTCTCCTCAGATGGATGGATTTGGGCAGCTGGAGCCCCAGGTCCTGCCCTGACCAAGGAAGGCGGTCCCAGCCAGCTGCCCTCGGCACTCCAGGCTGGCTGCAGCCTCAGCAGGGCCAGACAAGGGCATGGTCTCACCAGAAAAGAGACCCTCTGCAGGCTGGGAAGGGCTGGGGCTGAGGCAGGGACTGGGAAGGTGGAGGTGATGAGCAGATCCAGACAGCAACATGCCCCAGCCCTCGATGCTGGGGCCAGGGATCCCACTTATGTCTGCAGACGGGTCAGCTGGATGTCACCTGCCACTTTCAGGTTGTTGATGTTGGGCAGGTTCTTCAGGCGGTGGTTGTAGTCACACAGGTGCTGACCATCCACATCCACCCTGAGGCAGCGGCCTTCACACGTGATGCACACCTGGACAGAGAGGCCACGTCATTTGTTCTCCGCTTGGGAAGTCCTCACACCTAAATGCAGGCTTCTGTCTCCCTCCCTCCTTCTTGCCTTCCTCACGCCTCAATCGAGCAGACCCCACACCTGCCTTCCAGCCACTCTGAAGGATCCATTCTTCACTCAACACGCCCCAGGTTCTCCTGCCCTTGTGCTTTTGCATATTCTGTTCCCACTGCCCAGAATGCCCTTCCTCCTGTGCTCCCCACTCTGCTCCCCTTGCCCACACGGATGACTGCTCATCCCCCGTCAGGATTCTCCCCCCTCCCTCCAGGAAGGCGAGCCCTCCCTGCCTTCCCCACCTCCTGACACCCTCCTAGTTGAGTCAGGAGCCCCTTCAGGCCATGTCCCCACCCCATCCTCATTCTCCAGCTGGACCCTGAGCCTCCAGGGCAGGAATGCTGGCTTGTCCGTCCTCGTCCCTGGAACCCGGCGCACAGGAGGGCTCCGCGCCTGCACTCCTGCAGCGGCAGTCTCCTAACTTGTCTTTTCCACCCCAAACTTTCTCCTGGAGGCCCTCGGAGCACGTCTGTGAAAATGTCATCATCCCCATCCGAGTAGCTGACCCTTGCACGCTTACTGCTCACCAGGCACTGTCTCGAGTGTGTCACAGATACGATTTCATTTCATTCTCACATCTCTATGAGATTGATGTTATTATTAGTTCATATTTAGAAATGGAAATTAAGGCACAGAGCAGTTAAGTCACTTGCTCAAGTAACACAGCTACTTAGAAATCAAAGTACATTGCCCTCTGCCTTGAAAAACACCAACCCACTGTATTAAAATCCCAGCTCCTTTCCATGGCCCTCACGGCACAACATCAGTCATTTCAACCCTGGGGGAGGAGCATCAGGGCGGATTTACAAATACAGAGGCCCAGGCTCACCCCCTCGTTGGCCGGGGGTAGGCCCAGGCATTGATTTTCCTTCTTTAAGCTCCAGGGGTTTGACTGTGTGGTCGGGGCTGAGAACACCTGCTCTGTGTGAGCCGCCTCAGCCGCCCCACCCACACCTCTCTGTCCTCACTGTCCACCTGGGAGCCCCCATCCCTTGGTCCCAGACAGGCCACTCCCAGGACTCCGCCTCTGCAGTAACAGCGGCTCCCTCCACTGCCTTCCGGAACGCACCCACAGATCTTTGCCAGGCGGCTCCTTCTGCCTCTGGGGTCTCAACAGCTCAGTGGCCTCCTCGGAGAGCTGTCCCGTCTAAGGCAGCGCGGCTGCTGTGCCGGGGCTCACTCTATCCCTCTAGTCTGTTTTGCTTTCTGCAGAGCGCCTGTTCTTATCTGCAAGGGTCTGTCCGTGCATTTGTGTCCTGGTTCCTCTGCCTCCTAAACCGCGGACTCCGTGGGGCAGGGAGTCTGTCTGCTCCATGCTGTACCCCCAGCACCTGGGGTGCTTCCTGCACAAGGTGGGCCCTGAGAGAATAGCTGGAATGATTGTGGAATGAATGAGTGAGTGAGTGAATAAAGGGAGGACACCTCCTTCTGGGGCTCCATCTGGCACTTATCGCTGTGTGACCTCAGGCCAGTGAGCTGCACTTGTGAATTTGTTTCCTCATCTGTGAACAGCAGATAGCACCACCTACCCCATGTGGGACAGTGATAGTAAAATAAAAACAGCCACTGGTTGAACACTTTCTCTTCTTCTGGACACAGCCCTCACTGCACCATGAGCTCCCATCTCATTCGAGGGGACCCCGGTTAGCCCCCTCCCCTGCTCCATTTGCTCCGTGAGAGCCCCTCTGAGCTGCAGGCTGCAGCAGCTTACCGAGAAGCTCCGGCCTTGGGTGAAGGGTGTTTTTCCAGGCAGGCTTTGCTCCTCAGACCCCCAAGAGCTGTTGATCTGCATGTTGCAGACCACGGTGTTCTCATTGAAAAGGGGTTTCCGGTGGAAGGCGATGTCACTCCCAGAGCGCAGGTTGATGTGAAACCTGGGGGTGGGCAGCTCACATGGACCTCCTCTGACCACAGAGCTCCGGGTCCCCGCTCCTCCCCAGCCCGCCCAGAGCCAGGGCAATGGCCAGAATGACCCTGGGCTGTCTCTCCTCCCGAAGCACCCTGGCTTGCTACTGAGTGCTGTGCAGGATGGTGCCTGACACAGCGATGCTTCTGGAGGGGTACAGCCCACCCAGGATGCAGGTGAAGAAAGGCATTGGCTGTCCGGAGGAGAGGACCAGGTCAGCCAGCGGCAGCCAGAGCAGCCGCCACGGCAGGGGTACCTTGTGCCAATTTCCATGAATTTGGACGGTCAACTGAGTTTGACAACCATGCCTGTGAGTAACATATTTTCAAGAAAGAACTCTGTGATATCTTTCCTTGATTCAGTAAATGCCACATTAAAACTTCCCAGCGTACCTCTAATGAATGGGCTTAAACTATCTCGAGAAGAAAATTGGCCTGACATAAAAGGACAGTAGGGCTGAGAAGGGAAGTCCATATAGTGTGCTCATGGTGAAGCTTCTGTCAGGAGTCTTCTCATTTACTTGGGTATTTTTAGGAAGTTCAGCTCACCAGAGCACTGCTTTCCTATCCTCACTGCCCCTTGCCTCCCACCCTGCCCAACGCAGACCAAACCTCCACCCCTCCTGAGAACACAGTTAGTAGGCTGGGTTGGCAGAGGCCATAGGAGGGGTGCAGGATTCTGTAGAAAAGAGACCAGGAAATTCAGTGTGGTAGTGACACACACACCCAGGTCTGACACAGTCGAGAGGGGAAGCTCCAATGTGACACTGAGGTCGTGATGCTTCAGCCCTTGGATTCTCCATCACTTCCTTCTCATGTCAGCTTTGGCAGGACTTTCTGCCATGTCCTGGACCCCATAACTATCACCTGCCCCTCCACCCAGGGCAGCCCGCCTGACTCCAGGCCTCCCGTCTGATGTGCACTGGCAGGAGGAGGAGCAGCAGCTCCATCCTTTGAGCAGCAGGGACATCCTGGGGCTCGTCCTCGGGATGCAGGGCCTCCTCTCCAGATGCTGGACCACTGCACTCCCTCTCAGTGACAGAAGGACCCATTTTCCTGCTGGTCCCTAGGGGACCTGCCTTTAGGGCCACTGGGTGAGTCCAGCCTGATCCAGAATCTGCTGTCCCCAGGAGACTTTCACTTTCAGTCTCCTGAGCAGAGGCCCTGGCCCCAATGTCCCCATCCCCTTTCTAAACTGCTTTCTTCTTGACTCTGGGACTGGAGAATTCGTTTTGGGGAAGGGAGCCGCGGTGAGGCTGTGAGCTGACCAGAGCTTTCAGACTCATCAGGTACATCAGTGGAGGGTCTCAGCACAGTGTGGATGATTGGTCTCTTCTGGGAGAAAGAAACCAGAGTTTTAACCAGCCCTCACCAGCGTGAGGACCAGCACCTGCCACCAGACGGCACCACGTCACACAGTCCTCTGAGGTGAGTTAACTTTGGCCAGGTCACCAGCCCTATGGCCCTGACCAAACCCCCAAATGGGAGGATAGGGGTGTTTCTTCTCTTAGTGGATGAGGCTGGGGCAAAGGTTTCCTCTGGAGAAGGAATTTGGCTGCACTGTAGCCTCTGGCCCACATTTCTTCTCAGTGGAGTTTCTCCAGCACAGCCTCACTTGGCAGGAGGGATGGAAGGTGGGGCCTCGGTCTTCTGTGGCTGCCACAGTGGCAGAGGACTGAGCCAAGAAGTGAGTTCTGGGTCTTTTCCAATTCATTAGGGTCCTCCCTCTCCCCCCAACACCCCCCCAACCCCCTACGCCTCCCCCCTTACCCAGGCAGATGCTCAGGGGCTCTGCCCCACCCTCCCTATGGAAAGGGCTGGATGCCTGGCCCTGCCTCCTCCTTTTCACCCACAGGAAGAGCCAAAATGAAGAGGCTCAGAAAAGAGAGCAAGAGACTGGAAATGGGAGCAGAGTCGGCAGGCCTGACCCCTGGAGACTGAAGGGATGAGGAAATCAAAATGGCAGTGAACATCGGTGCCCCATGACAGTGAGACCAGGGCAGAAACTGTGGTCAGAAATGTCTCCCTGACTCGCTCTCACCTCCTTCCTGCTCCCATCAGCCTTCCTGAGCCTGTGGTCTGGATCTCCCCACCCTCCCAGGTTCACTGCTCTTAGGAAGGGGCGGGGCCAGGGTTGCAGGAGGGGAGCATCCCCTTGGCTCCTCCAGAAGGAGAGAAGGACCTGTCTGGTGTAGACCATCCAGCTTCCCTCAGCTCCCATTGCTTCTAGGGCCATATTTCACCCAGGAGGTGAAGACTAGCATTTACTGAGGGCCTGTCATGTGCCAGGCTTGGGCTCCAGTGCTCTCCGAGGGAGGCAAGCTTAGCTCCTGTTCCACTAGTGAGGCAACCTGGCTCAGGAGGGTTAAGCAACTTGCCCAAGCTCGCCCAGGGAGCAAGTGATAAAGTCCAAAATGGTGCCCAGTTCTGTCTGGTCGTGTCCACCCACACAGTCATCCCCAGGCCCGGGCTGAAGTGAGGCTGCCCTGCAAGGGCTCCCTGGATCTCCACCAGGCCTGAAGCCAGCATGGCAGGAGGCAGGTGCCCGAGCTGGACAGTGATGGACCACAGGAAGGCTGGGTGGACAGACACCCCTTCCCCCACCCCCACTACTCCAGGAGCCAAAGGAGGGGCCGGGCCCTGCTCCCCTTCCTGTCCTGCACCCTGTGCCCCACAGCTGACTGATCTTCTTGCCCTCACTTGTTTCCTGTTCTACTGCCCGTGCAAACCACATTCCACTTTCACTTACCTGGTGCCTCCTGCATGCCCGGCACTGTGCAGAGTGCTGGGGACACACACTGAACAAGCAACAGTCCCAGCCCGCGAGGCTCAGGGGTGGAGGGAAGGAGTGGGTGGAGTGACAGGGACAGACATGAAAGCACAGTTACACGGGACGTGCTGACTGGCACGGCACAGAGATGTACAACCTCCACGGGGACAAGGGTGAGGCTGGTGGCATCCAGTGACCTGCCAGGCAGGGAAGATACCCCTGTGGAGCGACATTTAACCAGAGCATTGAAGGGTTTTGAGGGTTGGCAGGGAGTAAGGTGGCAAAGGGTGCTTTCAGCCCAGGGACAGCATGTGCAGAAGCCTGGTGGCCCCAGAGGTCCCCAAGTGAGCATTGGAGGCTGCGTGAGCTTCATGGGGGAGGGCTGAGGCCAGGAGGTGCGCTGAGGCAAGACTGGGGAGGATGCTGAATGTCCTGCTGGGGAGTTTGCCTTTGTTTAGAAGGACATGAGGCCTACAGGATTTTTCAGCAGGGAGAGGATGGGACCAGATTTGCTTATAGGAAGGTCACTGCCACTGTGGGTGGGTGTGAGGGGAGTGGGGAATTAGACCATAGTCCTCATGTTGTAGGGTCAGGTGGCCTGGACCAAGGCGGTGGCTTTGGGAGGGAGAGGCGTTGGTGCCCTGTAGAGAGATTAGGGGAGGGAGGGAAGACCCAGAATGACTTCCAGGTCCTGGCTCTGGGTGCCTAGTGGAGGGAGACAGGGACCCTTTGGTGGGGTTGTAGGCCATGGCTGGCTTGCTGGCCGGAATGGGCCTCTCATGCCTCTGTCCTTCCTGCTAACTGCTGCTTCCCAGACACTCTGTGTTTGACTGACTTGAGGTTTGTGCCCGTTGGGTTTGTGTGGGAAATGGGCAGCCTGGGAGAACTCCCTCGTGGAGAAGGCGGGTGGGACAGGGCTGTGCGGGTGTTCTGTTAAAGTAAAAGGCAGCACGGGGTGAAGAGAAGCGTTAATGAAGCCAAGACAGAGCTGAAAGACAGGACTGGGGCCAGAGGGAGAGAGCAAGGCAGGCTGGGGGGGGGGTGGGAGGGTGTTCAGGACCACATGGAGGGGCAGCAGGGATGATTAGGCTCCAGGAGGCGACAGCAGGATGGTCCTCTCTCTCTTTGCACACCTTTCTATTTCTCCCTGTCTCCATTTCTCCCTCTCTTTCCATCTCTCTCGCTCTCTCCATCTCTTTGTTTCTCCATCTCTCTCTCTCTCCATCTCTCCCTCTACCACTGACAGGGAGACGGTTGGGTAGGGAGTAATATGAGAGGTGATGATGAAGGAGAGAGGAGCTCATAATTGCTGGGGGCCTCTGTGTGTTGGCCCCACCTCAGGAGTGCAGTCAAATACTGAAAGTGGCAACAACAGCTCCATCCAGCCTCCTGGTGGTAACAGGCCAAAGTGAGTCCGCTCCTTGGGGAGCTAAAATCAAAACCTACACCAGGAGTAGTGATCACACAAAGCATAATTTTATTTGCATCAGCAGCAAGCAAAAGGAGACCATAGGGAACAATTTCACAAAGCTATGGCTCCACGAGCCTGGGGAGGCGGGTACATTTATTTGGGGTAGAGAATGAATGTTCAAAAGTTTCCTCATCGCATGTAGAGGTGGGCATAAGCTTGCACATGTGTGGATTGAAAACATACCTTTATATACTTTGCATGACCTAAAAATGGCTCCTTTGCCCCTCCCAAAGGAGGAGAATTTAGGATGTTGAAGAGGGCAGGTTACTTTAGTGCAACTCTCTGCTCGTTTGCGTAGCTGTCACTCTTGCAGTCGTGGTCCAGACCCTTGTGGTCCAGTTCACGGTGGTTGGCTGCAGGGCAGTTGGCCTTTATATAGCATTCTTGGGGTGTAGCTAAAAACGACAGTCACAAAGTTGTTAGACAAAGGAACATCTGCACCCTTTTAACAAGACGAGACAGACAAGAAAAAAAGTAGGTTAGAGTCCACAGCTGGTGTCACAAGGGCCCTGCGGGAATTGGGCCCAGCACACCCCAAACTTCCCAGTTTTCACAAACAGCCAGAAATCCAGATTTCCATGTGATATTTCCTGACATTTTTAAAATTGTGATAAAATACACATCAAATGTACTGTCCTAACCATTTTTAAGGTTACAGTTCAGTGGTTCCAAGTATATTCACACTGTTGTGTAAGCATCACCACCATCCAGCTGGAGAACTCCTTCATCTCGCAAATTTTTTCCTGATGTTTTAGAAGGTGGCAACATGTTCCAAAATTTTAAAATACGGAGATGGTCAAGTAAGGCCTGGTGTGAGCCCATCAGGGCCATTTTGTAACCTCTGACATATATCACCAGTCTGAACTCACACAATACCTCTGGGGCAGCAGCGACTATACCCTTTCACCAGATGAGGAAACTGAGGCTGGGAGAGGCCAAGTCGCTTGTCTACGATCCCACAGCCAATGAGAATGGAAGAACTAGGAATCTGAGCTGCATCCAGTTCGACACCCAAGCCTGGGTTCTTTCTTGAGCCACACAGCCTCCTAACTAGGGTAGAAACAGAGAGTGAGAGAGAGGAGTGGCCCAAGAATCTGGGAGACTGAGGAAGGTATTCCAGACAGAGACAGTGACACCAGAAGGACGGGCCAGGGAAGCTGGAGGGGTGTCCACAGAGCCACCTGCATTTGGGCTCACCCAACAGGGCCTATGCATGGCTAGAATGGGCCCTGCCCCCAGCCCCTGGGACAGGTGCCAGGTGGACAAGCTGACCTGGAAGCTGATGGAGAACAGCTGCACAATGCCAGTGACACGGAGGATGTCCACACCATGGAAGGGCACACGGTGTGTGTACTGCACAAAGAGGTTCTTGTTCACTGTCACCTGCAAAGATAAGCGCATGTTCCAGGAGTGGGGACCCAGGCCAGGGCGGGGAGCACACCTGAGGCTCCAAGACCCCTGCTTCTAGAAATTAAGACCATCCATGCCCTGTAGGTTATGGGCACCAGGCTTCAGAGCTGTCCCAGTCACAGGAACATGCGTGGGATCCGAAGGGCATCCCCGCTCAGTCTCTGCCTGGCTCTACTTGTTGGCTTTTTAGATCTCTTGGTTGTTCGTTTCTTGCAGTAGGCTTGTGTGTCTAATCATAGTTCACCTGGGTGTTATTTAAATATGCATAAAAACGTTCATAGGGAACAGAGGAGAGGCGACCTCAGGCTGAACATGGAGGGGATGGGAACATCCACCTTCACAGAGCAGCGCAGACACAGAAATATTCACCACTTCCCGTCTTGTCAACTCCAGAGACAGGCTCTGCTGGCAAAAGCAAGGTGCAGCACCTTGCAAAACTAAGCCATTACTGGAACCTGGGTAAAGGCTGCAACAATGTTACCACAAAGCAAACGTTCTCAGCGACCGGCTACACCAATGGCTACAGCAGAGGAAAGGAATGAACTTGTACTTTAAAGACCCAGGAGGCCAAAAAACCCCATGGTGACTTATCTGGTTCTTCGTCCCTGCGTAAAAGAAGCAACAGGTGCACCTGTAGATGCAGGTGAGGGTGCGTAAGGAGACTGCAGCCATCAGTAACACCCTTACAAGGAAAGGGTCCTGTCATCTGTCTATGGTGTTGCTCAGCCAGATCTCAATGTGTGTGATTATTTAAAGGCTCTTCCCCAGGCCTGTTAGCGCTGAGGGAACGGGCAGTGGGCCGGGGCCAGGGGGGTAGGGAGAGCTCCGGCTCACCTGGAAACGTGAGCTCTGCACCAGGAAGCTGAGCTCAAAAGGATCCCCCTTCTGAAAGGGCAGTGGTGTCTTCCACTCCTCTGTCCCCCAGTATCCATTCTCCTTCGTGTTGCAGACCAAATACCCACCACTTTCAAACCGAGGATTGAAGTGGAAGGCAATGTCATTGTCACTGGTGTCAGTCTGAAAGTTCACAGCAAACCTAGACGAGGGAAATCAGTCACCTGTAGCCTGGTTTACGCCAATGGCGGGAATGGGAGGGCTTTGCCTTTGACTGGCATCTATCTGGGAACTTGCACGTGACCAGCGATCCTGAGATGGTTGCCATCCTTTCAGTTCACCTAATTAGCACTTTGTTTTTGTGCAATTATTACATTTTGCTTTTACGGTGTGATTTACTAAAAATAAGTAGAAAATGGTTAAAGAAAAGTGTTGACACTAGCAATAGGAAGCATAGGTCTTGGAAACTAACTACAAATTTGTCTCAAAAGTGGAAGTCAGGAAATATGCCTACAAGAGCCCTCAGCACCAGGTGGACACTGGTTGGAGGCCAGCCCACGTCTGTTCAATTGGGAAAGAAGAGAACAAATTTAAAGAACATGTGAAATTGATGGGACTATACCTGCAAAGACAGGGTCCAAAAGGGGAGTCGTAACCAAAAAATAAAATAAAAATGAAATAAAATGAGATACAATAGGAGACATAGAACAAATATGAACTCTCCAGGCATGAAAACTTTCATCAAATTATATTTGATGGCAAATTTAAATATTTCGACATTAGCTGAATGAGGGTTTGGGATTAGATGAGGGCCGTTACGGGAAACAGAGGATGGGATATTTTGCGTGTCTGGGTCATAGTGTGCAGAGTTCAACCCTATAACATGATCACCTGCCTCTGCGCTTGCCTGCTTCTCTCCTTAGGCTGCAAGCTCCCGTCATCCCTATGTCCACGGGGAATCTATGTTAATGGTGCCTGCACGCTATTGGCAGATGGCAGTGGTGCCATTCAGTGTTGGCAGGGGCCAGGCCCTCCTCATCCGGCATGTCCAGGTGCAGGCAGCTTGGAGGGTGCTGGGTGAACCATCCTGAGCTGACCGGCACCATGGTGTGCTAAGGGGCAAGGCTGCAGAGAAACCACAGTTCCAGGTACCTGGTGTCCTTGGAGGCTAAAATGACCCCTTTGATGGTGATCTCAAGTCCATCCTGGAGACCCCCTTGGATTGTCCCACAGAAGGGGACGACCTGCAGAGAGAAGACAGGATTTCCTCTGAAGCCTTGAGAAGGAAACAGCCTTGCTGACACTTTGAGTTTAGATTTGTGACCTCCAGAACTGAGAGAACAAATATGTGTTGCTTTAAGCTTGGGCAACCAAAGCTGCTGGGGAATTTGGACCTGTGTGCGTGTGTGTGCGTGCGCACGCGCGCATGTGTGACTGTGCATGTGAGCGTGTCTGTGAGGGAGGGATCTCAGCAGGCAACAACACTCACTTTAGCTCTGTATGGCACAGGAGGGTGGTTTTTGTGCTGGTTTTCTGGTCCACAGGCCTGGGCTCGCCTCCAACTCCTGCGCTGGCAGCTCTGCTGTTGGGCGGTCACTGAGTTGTCTGCACCCAGACGGCGGCACCAGAGCCCCAGCCTGGCCGTGATCTTGGGAGGATTAGATGAGGTGCTGTCTGGAAAGCCCTTGGCTTGCAGACCTGACAGCGGCCGCTGTTGGCATCAGGGTGACTTCATCCCTGTGCCGAGTCAGGACTGCTCTCTCCTCTGGCTGTGCCTGGAGCCTGAGAAATTTTCCTTCCCTTCCTGTCCAGAAGTGCTGACAGCAGAGTTAGGCCCTACAGGCCAGAGGGTGGGCAACCTCCTTCTGGAGGCCCGGTGTCACCAGAGGGCACCCAGCCGCCCTGGCAGAGGGGGCTCACCTGCAGGAGGCAGTGTGAGGCTTACCGCCAGAGGGCGCTGCTGCCCAGAGGTCCCGAGGCCCTTCTGGTGGCGACCTTCCCTGTCTGCATTTCCTTGTTATCCTCACAACAACCCAGGCCATTCTTAGTGCCACTTTCACACATAAGGAAGCTGAGGCACAAAAAGGTGTGGTAACTTGCCCAAAGCCACACAGCTGGTGAGTGATAGAGTGGGATTTGAAGGCCAGCACCCATGCTTGTAACCACCACACAGCCTCCTTCTCATGAGGAAACACAGAATATCCTCACTCTTGGCTCACGGAGCACTTCCCTGGACCAAACAGCAAGTCCTGTCCTGCCTGTGGCCGCAGCCTTGTCCCGGGTCTCTGAGGAGCTGGGACTGAGCAGAAAAGCTGGCCGCATGCCCTTTCCGCCACACTTCAGAGGCAGCAGTGTGGTCCCTGCTGCTGGAGGTCAGCGGGTCCCCAGGGAGCTCCCAGTGCCTGTGGGGACGGTACCCGTCCTCTTTCCTGTCCGGACTCCAAGGCCCTGTCTGAGGTCTATGCTACCCACAGGAGGACTGTCGTCCTGATCTGAAAAATCTGGCTTTTGAATCCAAGGACTGGAAAGTAAAAACCAGTCACCAGAATGATACAGTGGCAGGGCCTGGCCGGGGTTCCAGGATCCCTATCTGATGCAGAACACGCCCAGTGGGACATGTTCTGCCCTGGAGGCCCTGCCACCTGCCTTCCCCATTATCGCTCTCTGTGGGCACTTTGCTCCTCTGGGGTAAATTGAGTCACCTTCCTTCTTTGTCTTTTACCATCGGGACCTGTGTCCAGTGGCCCCAACCTCTTAGAGCCGCAGTTCTTCCCTGTGTGACGCAGGGATGACAAGCCTCATGGGGTTGAAACGAGACCGCCTGCAGACAGGGCCTCCACACAGGTGGCACAAAGGTGCACAAGGCCGCCCTCTGTGTCCCACACTGCAGGGACAACCTCACTCCTCTCATTCCCGAGATGGCCCCTCTGCAGACACCCTGGACCTGTCCTGGCCTGCTGACCTCACCTCAGGGAGCACCAGCTCCTCGGGGCCCTTTCCTGCTGCATCCAGACTCCTGCCAACACTGAGCCCTTCCGAAGCCCCGTGTGTGCTGGGCATGTGCAGGCACCCTAGAGATGCTGCCTCCCTCCATCCTCATCCCAACCATGGGAGCGGGGGACAGGATCACCCTATTCTACAGTGTGGAAAGTGGGGCCCACAGAGGTCAAAGGAACTTGCCTGAGGTCATCCAGCTAGTCAGTGGCTGAACCCAGGAAGGCCAGCTCCAAAGTAAGTGCCCTCGACTGCCGTGCTGGGTTGTCACCTTCCCCAGAAGTCCTGTTTACTGCCCTTCATGCAAACAAAACATCACTCTTCTCATCACTACTCACGCCTGTCTTCTACCCCCTCCACCGGCACCTAGGACCAGGCCCCCAGAGGGAGCTCAGGAACCCTCTGTCAGACGCACAAGTCCCGATGCTCATCGTCCTCCAGTCCTGAGAGGCACAGGGGAGACCAGCGTGGAGGAGAGGCTGTGTCAGGATCTCCCCATCTGGCATTCCTGCCCTTCTTGTGTTCTCTTTAGGATGCCCCCTCCCCTACCCCTGCCTCCCAAGAGCTGTTTCCTCAGAGCCCCAGAGCTGCTTCCCCCAGGCCAGCACTGCCCCATGCCCACAGCCCGGGACTCACTGGGTTCACGTAGGGAGGCTGTGTGGTGCTGGCCATCTCTCCACCGCCTCTTTGGCCACCTGCTTCTCACACTAGCTGGACAGTCGTCTGCACTGGGGAGGACTTCACAGAGATATAAATGCGATTGCGATTTGGCAGTTATTCAATGGGGAGGAGCCGGGAGCGAGAGGAAGCGGATCTAGAGAAAGAGAGAAAGGCAGATTACCGGAGAAGGAGGGGCAAGTGGGGGACCCGAGCAGAGGGAAGTCGACATTCCCCACCCCAGTGGCCCTTACCTCCTCTCTCCTTTTGTGCTCCACCCTTCAGACTGAATCATATCTGGTTCATAGAGGTTCAAAGAGCCTGACCACACTGACATGACAGTGAGTTTCTAGACAATTCTGCCCATTAGTATGTAACTGTCTCCTGAGCGTGCTTGGTCAGGTCCAGAAAACAGTGAGGCAACTTGACAGGGCCTGTGTGCCTGGCCATGCCTGTGCCCAGAGTGGTGGTGGTGGTGATGGTGGTGGTAGTGGTGGTGGAAAGGCCTGGTTTATCCATTTTACACACAGAGAAACCAATGCTCAGAGAGTTTAAGGGATGTGCTTAAGGTCACACAGCTCACTAGTGGCAGCTATAAGAGGATACTTCTTAGGTTCTCAAGAAAGTATTTCTCCCCTTTAAATTCTACTCCTCATATAAAAAGATAATCACATAGAAAGAAGTGTTTTTCAAATAGGAAACGTCATAATGGAGACTTTTGCCCGAGAGCACAGTGGTGCCCTGGAAGCTTCTGAGCCCTCTTATGAATTTATCTCCTTCTTCTCCTCTCTCTCTTTTTCCTGGGCTTCAGAATAGAGAGACAGGAGAAGTCTTGGACATAAGAGAACATTCCAAGTGATATGGGGGTGAGGGACACATATTAAACTGTCCTTAATTGGCTCTAGCACCTGGTTAAGGGACGTGATTGCCTGAAAGAGACTAGCAGGATAGGCTGGGTTGGGGGAGTGGGGGGGGGGGGAGGGAGGAGAGTGGTGACAGTAAACATACCTAAGGTCCATTTGTTCCATGCAGTGTCCTAGCGAGAGGCCAGCAGATAAACTGAGGATGAACAGATCAGGGTCATTCAGGCAGCAGCAGGTAGAAGGCGCCTGTCGACGAAAATAATCCATAACCAATCCATAAATGAAAATTTGGGTGAGTTTATTCTGAGCTGAAATCTGAGGACCATGGCCAGGGGCCTTTCTTCCCAAAGGAAGAAAGGGCACCAAAGAAGTGGGGTGCACAGAGTAGTTATATACCCCCAAACAGGGTGTTTCACATATGATTGAAATGTCCCTCCCACAATAGTCACAAGATTGCCCTGTCGGCACAGCACTTGATGGACACAGCAGGTAGTGGGTCTCCTATCTTGGAGGGCATAGCAGGAGTCAAGTCTATTGCCTCGAGCTGGGCGGTGACAGGTGAGCGCAGCAATCATTTCCTATCCTAAGGAAAGACGCTTAATCCTTAAGGAGATGCCAACGTTTGGAGGGGGAGGGAAGTTGCACCTTTATCTCAAGGGCCTTTGTTCTTGCCGTAGGGAATATCTAAAGCAGATATACAATGCATGCTCAACGGCCACGGTCAGGCCCTTTTGGAAAGACAAGGTCAGGCCGAATTAGGTTTACACCAAATGGCTTCTTCATATTCTCCAATATATCCTATTACTTGCCATTTTTATTTGTCACGCCCCAGGGCCTCGCATCAGTCTGCACCCCTCTTCCTTCTTGCCCCTTGCTCGATGGGACAGAATTCGCAAAGACTGACTTCTTTGAGATTATCCCGTAGACTGAGGCCATGTGACCCCTGGCTCACCTTCCATCCTCACTATATTCCTGGATCCACCAGAATTTGACCGGATTTAAAGGGACAGCCAGCACAGTGGGAGCCAAAAGGAGAGAAAGGCAGGGAAATTCTTTGCAATCATCTCTGACACCAGGGACACCAGGGCCCACATCATCATTGATTGGGATAGGGAACAACTGGAACCCCCATTCACTGCCAGGTTGGAGTGAAAATAATATAACTTTGGAAACTTCTTGGTGGATTGTAGTAAAGTCAAATATCTACCTCTTGTGTCTCAGCTGTTCTACTCCTAGATGATGAGGATCAAGGCTGCCCCAGGGAGAGAAGCCCAAGTTGACCTGCCCTACGTTCCGATCTATATCATCCTCTGGGAAGCATAGGATGTCCTGATTTAATCCAATCTGATTTGTACCTAAAGTTATAGGACCACCCAATAACCAGACCCCATCTGCACTGAGACCATTTTAGCAACATTTTTACATAATCTTTCCTTTGTCTTGTAAACAGATAAGTCACATACCTATGCCTTAAGTTTAGCCCTACCCTCAACCCATGTTTGCAGCTCTTACTGCCCATGGGTCCTGTCCCCATGCCTGCAGCTCTTACTGCTCATGGGTCCTGTCCCCATGCTACTCCATGCTATTCTTTGAATAAAGGAGCATTACTGCCAGACCTTGAGAGTCCAAGAAATCTTTCTTTCGAGTCCTTGGCTCACCAAGCCCGTATCATTAGATAGTTACCCAAGAGAGGTAAAGACATATGTGTGTTCATAGCAGCTTGACTCACCAGAGCCCCACACTGGAAACAACACAAGTGTTCACCAAGAGGATAAAGAAGAAGCTAATTGTAGTATTCATACGATGGAATGCCCTCAGCAATCAAAAGGAGCTACAGATACAAGAAAAAACATTAATGAAGCTCACAGTCAAGCAGAAGAAGCCAGACACAAGTGAGCAGATCCTGTGATAACAGGTCAGAATAGCGATTATCCTTGGAGGGGCCGGAGGAGTCTTCTGGGGCTGGAAGTGTTCTGAGCTTGATCTGGACAGTGGTCACACAGCTGTTTATGTACGTAAAAGCTCACCCAGCAAACTAGAATCTGTGTATTTTACTCTACATGTATAATATCTCAATAAAGTTCTGTTAAAAAACCAAAAACTCCCAGAGCCCAGGGAGACACAGGGACAGCTAGAGTTCTAGCAACAAGCCTATTGGTGTCACCATGGACCTTGGAAGTGAGTCACAGTGAGTCCAGCCCATAAAGGAGAGCCCCAGGGCCCTCTGCTCCCACCCTTCATAGAGGGACGACAGTCAAACCCAAGGCCAGTGAGTTTTCAGATGAATTAAGGCAGTAGGGAGGCATCCTCAACACACAGTGCCAGGGTGCCGTTGACCTGAGCAGCCTGGCATCACTGTGAGGTCACCACCATCCACTCCCAGGGCCTCGTTCTGGGCTAAACGAGGCAGGAAGCAGCCCTTGGGAAAGTTCCATCTCAGAGCTCTGTTACTCAATGTCCCAGACACTTGTCTGAGGCTCTCTGTTCTCTGCACTACAGACCAAAGGACTTATTCAAAACATGAGTGGGCCACCTCACACCCATTAGGATGGCAACTGTCAAAAAACCAGAAAATGGCAAGTTGCTGAGGATGTGGAGAAGGAGCCCTTGGGAACCGTTGGTGGGCAGGTCAAATGGTGCGGCTGCTGTGGAAAAGGTGGTGTGAGTGCCTGATAATAAGCTTTGGATCGTTGAGGCACCCGGTTCAAAGACGTCCATCTTGAATAAACATATCACCAGCTGTAGGACATAGACACTTGCAAAACAACCAGGTAAGGAACGAGACTGTCCCCCCGCCCCCCCATGATGTTCTCTCTTTCAGAAAGCCCTGGGGGACCTAGATAACAGACCAAGTGAGCTCTCTCGATCTTCTCTTCCTGCACCCTAATTCCCACCCTGCCACCCCACCCTTGGGTCTTGAGCATCTGTGGATTTTGATATCTGCAGAGGTCCTGGAATGAGTTCCCCACAGATACTGAGGGAGGAGCTTGATTTGCAAGCTTTTCTCTACTATGTAAGTGTTACAGGCTGTTAACATCAGCCCCGATATCAGTTCCCCACATTGAACCCAATGTATATGGGGTTAAAACTAAAACCCACCTCCACCTTTCCTGCTTCTCTAGCTCCACTCATATGTAAATACCTGTTTCTTTAAACTTGGACTCTTTGAGCTTTACAACTAAATGGGAGTTACAAATTGTTAAAAGCCCAGGTGGCCTGGAGTTGGAGGTACACTAAAGTTTAGCTAATCATGTGTCCTTGAAGTTTGCCAGGAAAGCTGCTGTCTCAAGAATATCAAAGAGCAGAGGCTCCCAGACCTCAACTCCTCCACTCCTGGCGCTCGAACCCACCTCAAACAAGAAGACGAGACAACGGCGAAGGACGCCCGCCTGCCATCCTCCTATCTCACCCTCCCCCCCTGCCTTGCTGCAAGCAGCCTTTCAAGGCCAAACGCAGGCTGGTGGGAAAGCACCGAGCTGCACAAGCTACATGTTCCCCCCTCCCCTACCCAAAACCCCAAATAAAAATCCCTACCCATTCCTCATCCGGGAGCTAGCAATTTTTGAGGCATGAGCCTTTGCTCTGCTCCCTGTGCCTGGCATAGTAAAAACCTTTCCTCTTCCACTCAAGATTCTGTTCTCGTTATTTGGACTGGCATCGCGTTCAGAAACCAAACTTTTGGTTACGTAAAGTCCACCTCAATTTCTAAGAAACAGCTTGAGATACACCTAAGGAACTCAATTCTCTGTATATTTCAAAATTGAAATAAAAAGCAAACAACTGGCTCTGCTGTATGTCACCCAGGAGAGACCTTGCAATATGAAGTCGCTGAATAGTCTTCCAGCCTGGACGGGACCACCTCCAGGCCCGGGCTGACTCTCCCACTGGCCTGAGAATGCCAAGGGGGAGCATCAACATGCAGACAACACCCTTCATCAGCAGACTCTTCCCGCCGCCGTAGTGAAGGCCCTGCTCCAGCTCTCACGCTCCTTCTCTTGGCCTCTGCTTGGCAAAGGCTCACATGGGCTCTGGCACCCAGGTTGTGGACAGGGCCAATCAAAGGGCAGCCGGGCTTCCTGGGAATGACTCCCTGAGAGCCAGTGATGAGCCCCACCTGCACCCAGGCCGGCCCTTTGTCCACAGGGGCTGCTGCCTGAGTCACTCCTTCCCCATCAGGAATGGAAACTAAACACTTCTTTAGAGGAAAGGGGAAGGACACGAGGACTCCTAGTTGGGGCAGAGAAGGGACCCTGGCAGGGCAGGGTGGCAGGCTTCTCCCTGGCTTGGTCCCCAGTGCCTTCCTGCCCCTCCCTCCAGCTGAAATCTCATTAACAGAGCTGGGCAGGGCAGGTCTCGGCCTGAGGAGAGGGATTTAAACTATTTGGAGCTCAGGAACCCCCTCCCACTGGAATCAGTTGTTTTCCAGGAAAAAGTAGGGTACAGACACCACCACTGCAGTGACGTTCCATTGAGCCCTCAAGCTAATATTCCAAGCACTGGAGGAAGAGAGGAAACAGTTAGCATAGTGATACTTGTTTTGTGAGGAAGATTGTTCCTGAGCTAACGTCTGTGCCAATCTTCCTCTATTTTGTATGGGAGATGCTGCCACAGCATGGCTTGATGAGCAATGTGTAGATCTGTGCCCAAGATCCGAACCCACAAACCCTGGGCCGCCAAAGTGGAGCATGTGAACTTAACCACTATGCCACTGGGCCACATGGGCCACCATGCCATGTTTTCCATAGAGAAAGTAGAAAGATCATTCTGTCTATCTAATGGGCCCATGTGGCTGTGTGCTTTGTGACCCCAGTGACAAGGAGCGCTCTGTTAGAACTGGTATCCTGGTTTCATTTTTGATCAATATTTTCTGTCCCTGGGGAGTGGGAAGCCCAGCATGTCAGGCTCTTCTTTGGGTTCTGTCAACACCCTCTCACCCATGGCCCATTCCAGGGGGGTTGCAGGGAATGGGGGGTGGAGGCGGATCAGCTGAGTGGGAAGGAACAATGAGTCCATTCTCTTTTGTATCCAGGGACCTCCTGAGGAGAACGTAACGTGCAATGAAACGGTGTTTTCCACGGAGTGGAACATCATCCCACAGGGGAGCCCAGGTGCAAAGCAAGAGCACAGACTTAGGAATCAGCCAGACTTGGCTTCAAATGCAAGTTTCTTCGCTTGCTGGTTGGATGACCCCGAGCAGGTTCCTTCACCTCAGTGACCCCGGATTCTCCTTCTGTAAATGGAGCTAATACTTGTCTCACATCATTTGCCTGATGTGCAATGAGA